CCTGAACCCTAACCCAGCAGGTATTTTGCACACTGCAATTCTCTCTGAGCCAAGGGGGATCCAAGCCGCTTAGCATCTTACAGAATCGGGCTCACTCACCCCAGGCGAATGGCTCTGCAGTGCTTCCATCCGCAACAGGCTGTCACCAGAGGGAGCTGCAGCAAGAATAAAGACTGGTATTTCTTCGTTGCTTGCTTTGGCACATAAAACACAGTCCAAATGTCTTTTTTGAATGATGTTTTTTATTACATGAACACAGGTCTAATACATAATTTAAAACTCCACGTGTACACGGCCTAGGATGCAACGTGCTCCCTCCCCCACCGAGTTACGCAACAGTGATGCCGCGAAGGTGAACACCAGCTCTGCGTTTGCAACCTCACGGGGATGTTACAAATGGTCAGGAGTGGAAGCTTTGCACGCAGGCAGGTCTACGCAAGACAGGACAAAGCACATTAGGAAGAGGTAAAGAACAGGAAGAAGAGAGTAAGCCGGATCTGCCCTGGCTGAAGGGCTGCTCTCAAGAAGGTGTTCTCCATTTCCCCTCCCAAATTCCTCAGGGAGCAAGAGGGTGACGGACAGGCCATGATGCAGCCGGAGTCCCGTGGAGAGCGGTGCCGTGTGGTTTCACACAGGGCACTGCCAGCCACGGGACCCTCTGAGAACCGCTGCGCAGGGTGCCGTCAACAAGCTGTGGGCCATCCTGCGCCGTGCCTTCCGCTGCTGCTCTGTGCAGGGCGAATGCGCCGGGCTCCCTCCTCCTCCCACTGCTCACGCCAAGATCTAGCGAAACCAATGGACAAGTCACTGAAGACTAATGGGATTTGGCACTTTCCTGGTGATGACCCCACTCTCACATTCCTGTGAAGTGCCACAAGGCACTGCCTAAAACCTCAGGGTCCTACTGCTGAATCACGGTATTCCCAGAATTGGACTCCCTAAGTAAATGGCCTGGCGGGGGGACAGGGCAGGGAGGGATGACCAAGAAATCCACTGAGAGCCTGGCAGCTCCTCTTCATTCCAGTGATAGCACTTGGGCTGCTCAATACTTCAATCAGGTAAGTTATTTTAAAGTGTAAACATGGATTTAGGAGTTTTACTTCAGGTCCACTTCCCTTGGAAGATTTGATTCAACAAAAAGGAAAAGGAGAAAAAAAAGAGAAAGCCACACTAAGAAAAATCAAGAGTTCAGAAGACTCATCAAAAACTGTTTCAACCTTACAAAGCATATATGTCTTTGACTCAGGCCTCAAAATCAATTTACTGCATTATTACAAAAATAGCAATATAGAACCTACCCCTTTCCCAGTTCAAAGTTTAAGCACACCTAAGAAGATCCTACAGAAACAATCCTCTTTCTGGCAAGGCACTATCCAGTAGTGTGTGGCACAAACAAAACCACCTCTATCGAAGCCACTGATACAGTGAACGTGTGTGTGCACGTCAGCCCACACAGCAACTTTAGCTAGGTACAAAGAGTTACAGTTTAATTCACACTGCTCTCCCTTTTAAAAAGTGGGGTACTTACTTACACATATTAGCTAAAAACTGGGATCATTTGATTCTCAAGCATACCTTTATATGCAAGTATTTTAAACAAAATTAAGAATTTGCTAGTTCTTTCAATAAATGGCTCTAGTTTCCACAGATCTTTGCAGTTACCTGATAGCTACATTTCATTATTACAAAACCGGTTTAAAAAATTCCAGATCATCTTGTGTAACAAACTAGACTCTACTTGCTTTAATTACAAAAATAAGGCTGTCACACAACAGCCTAAATTCACATTCAAGCAACATATATACCTTTTCTTTTTATTAAACTAGCCACTTATAATTCAAAAGCACATATTCTAAGGGACTTACACTGCTGATCCATGCAAGCAAGGAGGGTATCTTTGGAGCTAGTGTTGTCCAACAACTAGTACAACTAACTGTGCCCACGTGCGTGCTCTGAAATAAGCTAGGTTTACCTAACAGCTGTAACAGGACTAGCTCCTCACTGAACGAGAGGCTTCTATCCTACAATTGTCAAAATTCAAGAGGAGTTTTGTGAAACTAATTTCACCCCTGGAGAAATCAGTGTGGTTTTGCCTTTCACATCAGTAAGCCTGGGATTTCGCCCAGGATTACTCATGTGGATGTACTTACACACTTAGGTAAGTTTTTCAAAATTGGGACTTCAGGCAGTTGTCAAAGTTTACAACATATCAAGTACATGATAAATCCAGGATGGCTTCTCTGTAATCAACTGCATAATTATGTAAATTTATATCTGTATTCATTTGCAAAGTTAAGTATTTTTAACCTTATTTTAGGAATAGTTATATTGATCTTGGTGAAGTTAACAACATACAACTCCACCTCATGTCATATTCCTTTCCTATAGTGAAATTCAAGTCTTATGAAAACATAGGATTGGTGACAAGAATGTCACAATAACTTACCACAGACAACATAATTCTTAAAAATGCACATACATATATGTATACATACATATATACACACATATACATACATGTATATGCAGGTTATCAACTCCCATTCAGGATTCCTCTGGAGAAGGCGCTGTAGATAAGATTTTGACCAGTAAATACAACCATGGACTTGAAATCTGTGTGTGCTCTTGCTCCATCTAGTCCTTTAACTGAGCTGAGGCAGCACCAGAGGATCCAAAGAGAAACTGATATATAGATGAGTCCTTTAACATCTCCTTTTTTAAAGCTTTCTTGCCTTTGTACTAGAGGGAAAAGCCACACAGCTGTAAGCAGTCTGTAGCTGAGGCAACGCGAACAGGAAGGTAACCTGTTCTTTACTCCAGCAATGGTAGTCATGAACATTGTTCATGTCATACCTCTGCTGTTGTAAGGACGCCATTGTCCAAAATCTGAGAGGCTACAATTCTCCTGTCGTTCAGCATCTTCAGCAGGGACTTGGATGCTGACCTTGCGTGGACCCTCAGCAAATCTGTGAATGACACCTGAATCTGGTTCAGTGGTGGGCAACAGCTGGCAGAGCTTCAGTCCAGCAGCGTCTCAATAACCTTGAGGTTAACCAATGAGAAACCTCATGAAGTTTGATAAGGACAAGTAGGAACTTCTGCCCTTGGGGGTGGCGAAGCATAAGCATGGGCTGGGAATTGACTGACAGAGTAATGCCCCTGCTGAATGGACCTGGGGATTTTAGTGAATGCCAGATTGATCATAAACCAGCAACGTACTCACTGCAAATAGGGGAAAGCACGTGAGCGTGGCCTGCAGGCTGAAGAAAGTTATTATCCCCCTCTACTCAGCACTGGTGAGGCCTCATCTGAAATATTGTTTGGGACTGTCTCCCAGTTCAAGAGGGATGTGAACAAACTGGAAAGAGTAGCCCTCCACGAAAGCAAAGCAGCCAGGGGCATAAAGCACACAGCCTGTGAAGGAAGGTTGAGGAAGCCAGCTTTGTTTAGTCTGGTAATAAGGTGGCTAAGAGGTGATCTAATGGTAGCCTACAACTATCTTGAGGGCAGTTACAAAAAGGATGGCGCCAATCTCTTCCTGTGAGTGCCAGAAAACATCGTAAAGGCAACAGCCACAAATTACAGCCTAGGAGTTGAGGCTGGACATTAAAAGAAAGTTTTCACTAGGAGAGTACTGCAGCACTGGCACAGGTTACCTAGAGGGTTATGAGACCTTCATCTCTGATAAAAATATCTCTGGATATTTTTAACACTCTGCTAGACAAACCCATATCTGATCCAAACTAGCGCTCGTGTTAGCCCTGATTTTGACAATGCTGGACCAGATGACCTCCAGCTGTCCCTTCCAACTAACATGTCTCGGATGCCATGGTTACTGATTTTAACAGAACATGTGATTTGCTGCACAGACGGTGCTGCTTTCTGACACTTTTTACAAGTTTGGCTTCCTTCAAGCCACACAGTCTGAGTGATGCTGCAATTGCAAAGAAGGTTTCCCACATAATGGTTGTGTTTCATTCACCCAAAGACATAAGGACATTTACTGGAATGGCACTACCCTGTCATTATGAAATCATTTGAGTAAAAGCTACATTACAGCATAGCTGTTGTTTTCATAGCCAGACTTGATTCAAAATGCATAATGCAATTTGACTTCTGTCTAGAATGCATTTTGTAATGGTTATTGGCAAGTCACGGGCCTAAGTTCTGCTACGTGCATCAATGCAGTCCCACTGGAACAATCTCCACTTCCTTTACGTGGCTCCTGTTCCTCAGCTGAACTGACCATCATGGCCTCACCCAGCAAAGCACACACTCAGCTTTCTCATTGCCTTTGAGGCAACTCCAAATTTCCACACCTGGGGATACAACCAGGAAAACAGCTGGGTGAGTTAGGTGTGCTCTTGGGCCACGGTAGAATGTTTAACCATCTATGGGACTGAGCCCTGGCTTTCAAAGTGACCCCCCGGCTTTCATGTGACTAATGGTGGAGCTGTGTGTTACTGAAGGTAAACTCAAGATTTTGGCAAAATTTCATTTTAAGACAGCCCAACCACAGAGCTCCAACTTTGGGTGTTAAGTCTCTCTCAGTTAAGAGATAACTTAATATAATCCTTAGCTATGAGACCTCTTCTGAACTACCCAGTATTTTCCACCAAGTGTTTTCCTGCACATTTCACCTGCATTTCGAACAGGAACGATGTCAAAATATTTCACTTTGGCACCTCCTGTGTGGTAAGAAGTGTTTTTAAACAGTCAGTTGCAATGTGTATCATGAGACAAATCAAGTTTTCATGAACAAGGTTAGCAGCCCATGTCTCTTACAATAAATATGATCTAGCATAAACATTCACAATAAATGTAGAGCAAAAATAGGGGAGTTATTGGCTTAGACTGAGATCTTAAGATTGATGATTTTTACCTTCTGGATCATAGCCAGCACAAACATTCTAATAACCACCGGCACTTTAACTATCCTGAGGAGCTAATTTCAACTACAGTAGTTGGATGAATTAAAAAAGGTACGGAATCCGACTACATAAGTATATCCATGAACAACAGAAGCCCTACACTTCCACTCCTTACTCTCAAACATACATGTCTGTTAGAATGTCAGTGTCAGCAGCAAAAGCAATCCAAAGACAAAAGTGAAACATCAACAATGAGTATTTTCAAAAAGGAAGATGAGTAGCCCGGCCTTAATCCTGTTTCATGTACATGTTATTAATTCCAGATTATTGGAGAGCACCGTCTCATGGCAAGCAGACTACTACTAATGATGCATGTTTGCTCTATCACAGTGATCCATTAGGGAAGCTGCTGTGTGCTGAAGAACAGGGTCATTCATCCAGGAGGTGTGCTTGTCAATACTTCAGATAGACTTTCTAGGGTTCTGACTCCTATTAAAAAGAAAAGAAAAAAAGGATTATTAATGCTATGAACAAATTCTCATCTCCTGTGTCTGTGACTTTCGCATATAAAGTGCCCCTAACTCTGGTCCACACAGCAGCTGAGGATGCATCACTGTGAAGTACTACCAGACTGAAGCAGTCGTCTGGCCAAGTTTATAGACACACTCCTCCAGGCCAACAAAAGGTTATTTCCCAGGAACAGAGCTGCACAGAAGCTGCTATTTCTGATTGCAGTAGGACATCATCTTTTTCCCAGGACTAGTTCTTCAAGCTATGAAGCTTTAAGCAAGGCTGCCAAAATAACCTGCTTTTGTGGTTCCCTGCTGAGGTTCCCTCCTACTCCTCTCCCTCATGGAGTCCATAAATAAACGAATCCCTCGAAGAAGAGGAACTCTACAGATATTAAAGAGCTACCATCCAGGCCTGAAATAGTACTACTGCCAAAACCAGCTGTATCTGCAGTGGCCAAGGGAAGAAAAGTCCTCTCCTATACATCTGATTTACTGCCCAAAAGTGCACTGTACAGTCTCTTCGAACGAGTGTCCAGGCTTCCATATGGTAATAAAATCTCATCTACTAAACTGCCCTCAACAGAAAGATATTAACTGGCTTTGTGTTCTGACCTGTATATATGTATTTGTTAAAACTTAATTCTTACCCAAAAAGTTGCTGTAACTCCTGACTGCTTCAGCATTTTAAGAAAAACAAAATTAATGCCTAACAAATAAATGCTGTCCTGGTTGAGCGATTATGCCAGGCAGCCCAGTAAAATGATGTTTGGTGACATAAACTGCAGATATTACAGTGATAAAGATCCTAGTTTCGTCTCCTGGTTGCTTTCAATTTACATTGATAATGTGAAGAAGAATGCACTCTTTAAACTTCATTTATCTGCTGTCTCAAATTGACTCCCATGTACATGCTTGGTTTCATTTAACATGCTTTGCTTCTCATGGCAACAGTTTCAATTATCTCATTAGCATGAATTTGATATGGACAAGGTATGGATCAAGGCACTGGTGCATCCAAACATGCATAGTTCTTTTGGTTCAAAGAAAAGTCAATCTCAATGTTTCAAGAATTCCATGAAAAGTCTGCAATACTGCACTGACCTTTGATGCCAAAGTAGGTTTCAGTCCAAGAAAGGAGAAGACAGTGTTGCTCTCCTTTGATTCAAAAAAACCATCATAATCCTAGAAAGGAAAAAAAAAAAAAAAAAAAAGATGTCAACATTTGTATTCGTGTTTCCCTGATTTATCTTACCACACTATGTATTAGACTGAAGGGTGATACATAATAACGCTCAGGAAAATACTGATACTTACCCATATTCTCCTATGCAAACCTAAAAGCTATTCTAAAGTGCAATGATATCACCAACTACAATGGCAAAGAAAACCACATAAATTCTCTAACTACACCACCTTTCACTACTTTATTTGACAGAAAAATATGAACATGGATCTGCATTCAAAGGAAATCTATTGTGAGTATATTTCAAAGGTATTTAAGTGCCTAACAATACAAATAAGTTTCTGACTGGGTTTCCAATTTGTATTTTAGCAAACAAAATACTTCCTGAAATGGACACCTCCAAGAAGTCCCACAGCAGCTGAACTCCTTATTTTTTCTGTGGTGGAACAGAGATTTCGTCACCATTGTATCTTCTGAAATCAGCAATCATATCTCAGCCTTGGACAACCACACAGCTAAATATAAAATGTTACCATAAAGAAACTTATATAAAAGGTAAAAAATAAGCTTCATTATCATGATTAAGTTCCTTTTAGGTTTCAGCTGCTTAAGATCAGGTTCTTATCTCAAAGTGTTACTGCTTCTTTTACTGATTCGTTTATTGCATTGGACACCTGCTAATCTTCTACCATCAGATGAGCTGACAATATTCAGTTTTCAAGGAAAAATAGAAAAACAGAACACAGTTCAGTGGATGGATTTGACATATGACAAGAAACCAGGAAGTTTCAGGTTCTCTTAGTGGTTGGGCAAAGATTTCCTCTATGACCACTAGCAAACAATACAGTGCCCGGTTCAGACTTTTCCTCCTCCACATAACTGCAAAACAGAAATATTAATCTTAACCACTTCTGACATGCAAAATACTCTGTAAGTGACAGGAAATGTCAGGTATGTGCTCATCACTAAATAGCAATTATCTCTAGTATCTAAGATTAGTAGTTACACTTAACTTGAAAGCATTCAACAAGAGAAATACCTTTAAATATTGACTGTGCACATACATGCTTTCAATCAGAATAGTATCAGGCAGTCTCCGTGCCTCCACATGCTTCCCATTTCTGTAACAGTCTTTCCCAATGCACCTGACCCCCAAAGCCAGCACTTCTTTGGCTCCTATCCTCTAATCTCATTACTTTTTGAAAGCTCATCTCTCATTGTTAGTTTCAGATACTTTCCTTGAAACCAGACCTCAATTCTTCTCCAGCAGCAGCTGCTTTGCCCACTTGTCTCCTTCCACTCCTGCCTTCTTTTGAACCTGTAACCTCACAAACCACCACCACCCCACCCCCAATCACAGGGGACCATGTAAGGTAAACAGAAGCAGCTGTAATTGAAAAGCAGAAATCTTTCTCTGATCTGGCTGTTCTTGGAAGGCCATCATAGGGTATGCAAAGATCAGGAACCTTCTTTTATCTTCTAAGCAGAGTTTACTCATGCCTAGCCAATATCTACTTGTGCTTACATTTTGGTTTCTCAGATCCTAAGCAGGAAGCAGGAATGTTCTGGGCAAGCATTCTGCTTCCCAGTAGGCAGTGTGAATCCCTGAATAGCCCTACATCCCACCTGCCAGACCCAACTATGAAATATACCAAATTATATCCTTACAGAAGGATGGTTGGTATTTTGTGAAATAACTTTGTAAGGAAAGTGTGTGCTTGTAGATGAAGACTTGACTTCCTTTGTCTTTTTTTCTCTCTACCAACCTAAAATAAAAGATTGTTCACACAGAAAATACATAGTCACCACTGCAGGGATAATATACCTCCCATGAGATCCATAACAATTCTGCAGATGTGCAGAATTTCTCTTAAAACCTTTATGGTGCACTAGACAAAGATGCTTTACTAGCATTTCCATAACGACATACTGCTGTACCAATGTGAACACAACTGTCCTAGCAAAGTGATACTCTGCAGTCACATAATCATTCAAATAATCTCAGCCCAGGAAAATAAAAAAATAGCTGCACAGAGGCAGTTTCCCAGCCTAACCCTCTATACTAAAAGCATCTGCCCTGAAAGACAGAGAGGCTGGCAGGAGTGTATGATGGTCAGGAGGCCTCAGACATATTAGCTTACATAAGTACAAGGAGTAAACTTTCTTCTTAAGATGGCTTTTTGTCGTCATCTTCTTAAAAGATGACATATTGCTGTGCAGTAACGACTCAGGCAATAAGTCAATATTCCAGGATGAAGCTTCATGTCCACTCATCCTTTCAGCTTCCGTACACATGTGTATATAGAATCATAGAATCATTTAGATTGGAAAAGACCCCTGAGATCATCAAGTCCAGCTGTTAGCCTAACACTACCAAGTCCAACCACTAAACCATGCCCCTAAGAACCACATCCAAACATCTTTTAAATTCCTCCAGGGATGGTGACTCAACCACTTCCATGGGCAGCCTGTTCCAATGACTGAAAACCCTTTGGTGAAAATTTTTTCCCTAATATCTAATCTTAACCTCCCCTGGCACAACTTGAGGCCGTTTCCTCTTGTCCTATCACTTGTTACTCTGGCGGAGAGACCGACACCCACCTGGCTACAAACTCATTCCAGGTAGTTGTAGAGAGTGAGAAGGTCTCCCCTCAGCCTCCTTTTCTCCAGACTAAATAAGGGCTCCTCAGAAGACTTGTTCTCTAGACCCTTCACCAGCTCCGTTGTAATTCTTTGGACACGCTCCAGCACCTCAACGTCCTTCTTGTAGTGAGGGGCCCAAAACTGAACATAGTACTCGAGGTTCGACCCCACCAGTGCCAAGTACAAGAGAGAGCACACACTTTTCTTCTATCTAGTTTTCAGTTCCATGGTTTTCTCTATGAGCAATACATAATTTACAATTAATAACATCTACTCACTTCACTCTATGAGAAGAGTCAAGTTTATTTGCTTTCACTTCCAGGGGAATGAAACACTTCAAGGAATAAAGCAGTTCTGGAGCAAGGGAAGGTAGAATCTCCTGTAACAATCAGCATCACAGACTGGAAAACAGACTTTGCAGACAGATGCTGCTTATCGTTATGAGGACAGAATTATTACCATTACTTTTTAAAAAGCTAACACATGAAGATATTAGACACAGTTTTAAGTTCCCTTACTGTTACTTTTAGGTATGGTCTGTTCTACCTAACCTTGAAATTAAACATATAATTGAACAGAGGAAATAGACACATTTCCATAAATTAAAAAATCATTAAAGGTGATGAACTGATGCTAATTTCTGAATTAATGTAAATTCACAATTAATAGCCAGAAAGTAAATAGACAGATCTCACAGCTAGGCCATGGCCTAAGCTGAAACAGTGCTGAAAGCAACCCCAACACTGCCATGGGTAAAAAGAGGACAAGGTAATCATTGAACACCTAGAGGAGTAATAAGTAATACTGAAGCTCTACAGAAGGATGTTTGATTATGCCCTTGACTTGATAAACTGCATGGACACTGTTAAACCTGAAAAAGGTTCAGCCTGACTCTGCTAAAGCAGATGAAAAGCCATGAGGGGCATGAGCTACACCAGCAACCTCACGTGAAGACAGCGCCTGATCTAACTGAGAAATAACCTTAATTTTCTCCACTGGTTTCATCTACAGGTGAGTCACACTATCTCTGGAGCTGAAGGAAGGGGAGCAGTGGATGAGTAGAACCCACAGTCAGAAGAACAAGGGCACTCTTTTAATATCAGGGCAGGTTTAAATTGCCTTAAACTGCTCATTACAGCCCTGTAAACTATAAGCAGCCAACCTGTGGGCCAGCAGCTATTGAGAGCACTTCTGCAGCAGCATGACATCATTTTCACTCCCCTCCAAGAGCACCCTTTCCTCCTAAGCACACAGGCAGTTTTCATGAACTCCCAGACAGCTGTTTGCCTCAATAGTTTGTCCAAGGGAAGGCTCTCTGTTCAGGTGAGTCATCATCTCTCAGCAACATTTTCAAGTTCTGAGGCTCTCCTGAAGCATCTTAATCCCAGTATTTCGATTAGCTCTAAAAGCACCATTGCTGTAAGACCATGGGTTTTTCACTCTTTGTTAATAAATTGGAAAGAAAAACAGAGTAGGAAAATACTGTCATAAGAAATAAGGCTGCATTCCTGGCTCTGACAATGACTTTGACTCAACTAATCCACCAATATCTGTGAACATCTGTTTACCATAACCTCTGTAAATTGTGCTAGTTATCAATTTCTACTTGCAGAAGTACCCAGGCCAGATTTAGCATGTTTTTTCCACAGTTCCACAGATTATCAAACCTAGATTCACTTACTGAAAAAATTGTGAAGGTTAAACAATGAACTAAACTGAGGAAGTGTATGTTTCAAAGAGCACAAACCCCAGTGGATTGATTCATTTTAAAAGGAGAGGAATATTTAATAACCGCAAGAGATTATCCACCAGAAGTAATCTCCCTGATGTTTTGAAATATCTGCATTGCAAAACACATTAAAATGCTATTGACACTTTCTTACTTTCATGGGATATGAGGGTATGCTTTAGATAAAGCAACAGTAAAATTTTAAATAGGAGAATTTTCCTACTAATCTCTGCAATGAAAACATATGATCCCAAAATATTCAAATGTGGAAAAAATGTTACAAAAATGCATAATAATCCTATAAAAGTTGAAAAAAGTCACTTCAGTATGGTAGTTTCTTAAGAGATTTTTGAGAAGCATGATCTCAAGGAACATGACCTCAAGGACTCATCAGTTTTGCTTTGGCATGTAGTAGGAGTTCAAAGTGGGCATCCCTAGTTTTCCCTGTAATACAAGGGAGATAGCAATGTTTCAAAAACAAAAGGCCTTTGACCTTACCTTTTTAAGGACAGAAAGTCTGTGCAGATTTGGGCCGCATATAAAGACACTAAATTCATGGGTGAGGACATGAAAACTCTTGTCTCACATAAGGAACATCCCACTGCTACCAGCAGCAGATGCAAAGGC